CGTTATCATTGTGGACACTAGTAGTAGGCAGTCTGCCGATCTCACGTTTCCTTGCCAAAAATATAAGCACTTCTCAGACTATGTGAGTTGACAGGCACTCTTTGCTGTGCGAGTACCATTTATCTGTGAGTAGTTCAGGTATCCATTGAAGTAGACACCGGTGCGCCATCATTCGCACGTAGTGTCCTGTCTCTAAACTGAAATGAAATGCTCTTGTCTATGTATAGCCACTGTGGCTACACCAAGTACACGAGTACAATATTTGTTTTTCGTTCGTTTGCATTCTGGGTTGGGTTAGTCACATTCTCGTGTATACGTACGTACCTTCTGATTCTTTAGAAGCGATTGTGGGTGCGTGGCGAGCCTCCCTGGCGCTGGAGAAGGATGCCTTCGGAACTGAGATCCGCAACTTTGTTCAGGAGTTCGACAGGGACGATACAAGCGCATCCAAACGTATGCTATACGTATGCGTATCTCATCTTTATTGCGTCATTGTAAGCCGTGTCCGCGTGCTGTACTTGTGTGGTGTGATGGGTATCAGTTGCTCGCTTGTTGGGTATCGCTCTATAGCTCTTTGTTTTATCCTCACTCACTCTCGAGATATATATATTGACGTACGTAAACCTTGAAGTATTGTTTGGTAGAAGTACTGTATCTGTATATCTTTGGCAGTGCATGTTTTGGGGGTATGTATACATTCAGTAGGGTTTCTCGAACTGCTCTCGAGTCCGTTAGCGGTCTGGTGGTAAAGATTGATGTAACCATATCGGGAAACGAATTCCAGGATGTTTGTGCTTCTTACACACACCTGCTTGTTAACGTATTGTCCGGTGTTGTGTACTCTGGTCAAACTTGGTGTATGTACAAAGTATGTACCCTTAGTGCTTCATAGTGTCGGGTAAATATCAACCTACGATGACATGCGTGGGATTTTTGGTTTCATCACTGTTCTATCACCATACGATCTATATGGTGGATGTAGAAGCGGATATGGTTTCGGTGTGCTTCTATACGAAATCCTCATCTAATAGCGTGACCTACTTTACCTTGCATTCACGGGTGTCTAGCTTCTATCGTAAATGGGATGTAAGTGCAGAAGTTCTCTCGCACCGGACCAAGTAACCGTGATATTTAAGTGTCTGAATACACCATTTGTCTTATCTGTTGTGTGGATTTTGTATCGATATACCCTCGTGATCAGAGTAGTATGTCTATAGTTTCATCAATATTTCAGCAGCATATGTTTCGTAAGTCACAGCAGTTCTTCAAACGTCAAGGTTTCATTCATCGAGCTCGATGTACAATTCGTATATTCACGTATAAATGTGCATTTGTGTGCAAATTCGTGCCAATATTCGTTAAGTACCCGTTCTTATCGTGTTCAGTTTATTTCGGTTGTTCATCTGTGTTTCGACGTTTAAATTTTGGCATGCTATGCAGCTCAATCTGTAGAAGCAGATGATGTGACTACTATTGATCAATTGGATCTGAGTTATCGGCGACATAGCAAGGCCAGGTGAGCACT